TTTCGAAATATCTCTAGATGTCTTTGCAATTTACTGTTTATATGGTGAGGATGCTTTAACGTTAGACAGAGACAGAGTTGACAGAGTAGCTCCTGTTCAAGGTTTACAAATTCCTGCAATTTTCGCCTAATTTAAAAGAATGTTTGTTCTTCTCTAACAATACTGCTTTATTCGTAAAAGGGAATCCCCTCAGTCTCTTAGAATATCACAAAGTCCCCCCACAGGAAATCAAAGCAGGCTGGTATGGAGTTCAGATGGAAGTTCAGAGTTACAGTAAAGCTGCTCCAGTTGGAGAACCTAGAACTGTAGGATCAAGCCTCTGGTGTAAGCTGTGGACTTTATCTTGATTCCCATCTTTAAACATGTTACTTGTAATGACCACTCAAAGCCATGATGTGTGTAAGGAAAATAAAACCCAGACACTCCAACATCATCACCCTCCAGACAATAACAAGGATGCAAATGTCAAAGCCCAATGCTGCCTAACATGTGTTTTGCAGGTGTGACGATGAGAGGACAATGGCCAATTGTCTACCCTTACCCCCCTGGTTCCTCTGTCTGGACACTTACACATAGATGTTTTTGACACAAAGCAAAGCACTGCTAACTTTGTGTTGAGTTCATCTACGGTCTACCCATGAGCCATGCCTGTGTTGAACTTACAACTGAGACACTAAAGGAACTTAGGCACATGAAAGAAACCTGCTGGGAAGCTTTGATGGCAATCAACAAAGATTTCCTCACAAGAAAGTCCTTGTCTTTTTAGCTAACTTGGCCATTTTTCCTCTGTCTCCCTGTTATTATTTTGTACAGCTATAGTCTCTGTGTTTATGCACATAAAATAGAAGCAACACAGAGAATATGTGACCCAGGGGTGAAAAATCCAGAGGAAAGGAACTCTGGAAAAGCACAAGGCTCAGAATAACTTGTTGTCCCCCAGGGGGTTGTCTGTCCCACTCCACTCTGTTTTGGCACTGTCAGCCAGCCTCATCATTTTTCAGAAGACAAAGCTTAACAATCAGAACTCAGATTCACCAACAACACTCACCATCCCAGTCTACTTAACCTTTCCCCATTTTAACAAAGGAAAAAACAAGCTGGAGCTTGAAGAAGGGGGCACTCGAGCACCTCACCCTAAATCAGACCAAGGCTGAGAACCATCTCTGGTCCTTACTCTCCCTCCCTTGTTACCTGGGGGGAGGGAGGGGGTCTAAATATAACAATGACCACACAGTGCTGAAGTAGAGGGCCAGACTTGTTTCCCAGAGTGGCAGCACTTTCTCAAAGGGGTGGTATGAGAAGGACAGGAATGTCAAGGGAAAAGTATTCATAAACACAAACCCACAGGACCCTGCTGAGAAAGCCACTTTCTCGGAAAGTGATGCTCTTCCTTGAACAGATTAAGTCAAACACTAAAAGAGAAGTCAGACAAATCAGACTTAAGTACTGAAGTATTGTTCCATTATAAACCAACACTATTACTTTAGATACGCTTTGTAAAGTCATGCATGTGAGTCATGTGAGTTAAACCATCAATAATGCATGGTTATAAAAGCACAAGAGAAATACACAATGTTTAGGGAAGTTATGCAACCTCCTGCTGACTGTCATGTTATTTTTAACTCTATTTTTTTTATCCAAAAATGTCCTTACAATCTCCACAGTTGTCTCTGTGACTTTCTTCAGTGCATCAAGATGCAAAAGCCAAAGTCAACGACAAGCTCATAAGAACCTTATCTAAGCAATATAGCAAAACCTGCAAGACACCACAGCACAGAACTGGACTTTCAAAATACAAACTTTCAAAAATGACAACACTTAACAGGAGGAGTAAAGCCGCACCATGGACCAAAGTCAGCTGAGCTCCAGTCAAAAGATATGAAGAAGTGGTGCAGAGTGTAATGAAGCCCACTCAACTGGTGATTTGGTTCTGATAGTTTTCATGTTCAAACGATTACGACGAAACAGGGATTATGGTCGATGGAAGTGGAACAGCCTTTCGCTGGAGGAAACTTTAATCTCACCATGATCCGAGAGACTTTAAGTGTGTGAAGCACAAACAAAACAGAAGGGCCTTCTAAAAAAGACAAAAACTAGTAGAGGCAAATCATTGAGGGGAAATTCCAAGATAGCCCACTTTAGTCTTTATACATTTACTGAACGACAGATAAATATTTAAGCTATTATCCCATAGAGCTAAGTTCTAACACATCTCATCAGCCTCGTAGCTGTTTTCAACCTGTGTGACAATCTTAACACTCAACAGCGTGACCTCGATTTCACTAATTAGAGAGCGTGGGGATTCAATTTGGCTAATTTATAGACAAACTCAGCTCATGCAAATTTCACACTGGCTTTTGGCAGAAGCTCACTCTGACTCTACAGCCCAAATGGAATGAGCCAACATGAAAATATGCAGCACGATTATCATTTGTGGCAAGAAGGGCTGCTACTAAGCATTTTCATTTAAAGATGTTTTCATTATCAACCAAAATATTGTTTTATTGATTACTTAATCAATCGCTCAGGCTACGATATAAAAGAGAGAAGAGCAGAGAGTTGTCATATTTTAAAATCTAAAATCAAGGACAGAGTTGTATTTTCTTGTCAATTTATTTGAATTGTTGCAACAAAAACACTATCAAGATTCTTGTTTAATTTCACATTGATCGACAGACCTAACATTTGTCTCATCACCTCATGCTGATTCACTTACAAGAAAAACAACATTAAGTACATGTTTTCTATAAGCAGGTAGTCACAGATGTGTCTGTGGCCGTCTGACTATGTAAGAGTAAGGTTATGTGTTCTACTTCACTGACCAGTTTTCAAGTAGAGTTGTCTGCAAAAGGATTTTTTTCTCAGTCTTCTCTGCATGAATACGGGTTTGTTGAACCGCAGACTCAAAATAGCACATATGTGTGAATGTGAGTGAGACCATAGTATTGACTCCTGTCTATCCCCTTGTGTGCGTGACCCTATGACTCCACTGCCCAAAACAGCCATCTAAAAAGACAACACCGAAGACATTTCATGGGTCACACAACCGAGCCAAAGCCTCTCTGTCTTTCCTACAGTATGCAAACAGCTTCACTATCTGGAGCGTTTTGTGACACTGGTACGTTTGTAGGCCTTTGACGTCTATCATAAAGCCGCCATTCAGGCAGACAAAAAGGCTATTGATGCCTCTTCACTGAAATAATATTATCCAACCAAACAAGGCTGCTGCTTATTGACTTTTTTTAAATAACTATACATGGACCAAATCACCAAATCAACCAAATTCATATTTGACATACTGATGCAAGTTCATCCAGAAACAAATGGACTACATAAATGGACAATTGTGACTGACAGTAGAAAAATGAAAGACACTACTCACTTAGGCTGATGCTGCTGACTGAGGCCAATTAACAGGCAGGCTGATCAGAGGTCAGCTTTTCCAAAATAATACCATGTCAAAAATGTCCACTAACTGATAATGGCCATCACAGCAACACTTGTAATAGGTCAAACCATAATATTGACAATTTTTAGTCTAAAAAAACATTTATTTTTTAGCAGACAATCATAACCATTAGACCATTAGAAGACCGCAGAGCTGAGCAGGAGGACACACTGACAGAAAGAAATAGTGAGGGGTGGCTTGTTTGAGCTCTCACAAACTTCTCATCCACACACACACACACACCACACACACACACACACACACACACACACACACACACACACACACACACACACACACACACACACACACACACACACACACACACACACACACACACACACACACACACACACACACACACACACACACACACACACACACACACACCAGTGGCGTCACCTTTCCGTGCTGCTTCCTCCTCCAACCACAAGCGCTATGTAACTGGGCTGAACCTAGCAACAATTTAAAAAACAAAACTGCATATGTTGTCCTTACAGAAAAGTGTGTGCATGTTCAGCTATATGCCAAAAAAAAAAACACTGTTATAAAAACACAACAATTTATGAACTGATAGTATAGTATGTTGCACTCAAAGTCATTAAAATGAAGGGAAACGGCAATGCTTGATTAACAACACGCACATCTGCTACATACACTGAAAAAAAAGACACATGCAGGGGGGGTAATAGTAAGACAATGGCCACCAGACATCTGGAGGATGAGAGCTAAATCCTGATGGAGATCTGTCACACTCTGCAAACCTCCCCCACCCCAGTATGAACCAGTGAGATGCCCAGTCAACCTTCCAGAGGGGACCACGCATGGCATGACATGACATAGACTAGTGACTGGCCTACTTCTGTAAAAGCTGGGCTGTGATCTCTTTATTTGGTTATACAGGGTAGACTATCTGTCTCCTATGAACACATGTCCTGTGTAGGTATCATACCTGATATGTACACGTGAAGTCAAATGAGGAACTGGATGTAAAGTGTGAAACAGATTGAGACATTACAGCCAAACAGGAAGCAGGTAGTGTTTGTTGGAGTGGATAACCAGAAAATGAACAGAGGTGGATCCGTCAGACACACTAACAGTCAACCTATAGCCGGTTTGTACGTGCAATGAACAACTGGAAAGCCCATGAAGGGTGATGCAAAAGGAGAAATTCCCATAGAGAAGCGCGTATTCACTGTCCTCACCACAGAGGATTTGGTCAACTGGCCTCATGTCCTCTTACGGTAAAAGCCGTCGCTGTTCCCAGAAGAAAGAGCCTTTTTTTTAAATTACATTTCAGTAACTCACAAGTACATACTAGCACCATAGACTGTAAATATTGGCTAGCACACATGATAGCCAGTATGAATTACTTCCGTTATTGTTCTTTAGTGGATTGGACAAGTTGTAAAAACACAAAAGGGCCAGACTTTTATTATTATCATTATTATTATTGGCACATACATTTATGAGTTTCCATCGTAAATAATAGTGAAGTGTGTGAAGAGTAAACAGTGTAGTGGTGGCAGGAGTACACAGTGTCGCTGCTTACCTTGTTGGCTGATTTCCCGTCTTCTACTTCTTCTTCTTCTGTTGTGCTAATGAAGCAGAAACTAAATCCTCTATTCTCATTCTTTCCCTCGCAGTCTATGGGGAGCCCGTCCGTCACCCTAACGCCGTCGCTGTGTTAAAGGCTTGTCCCCGACTATCGACAATCTTCGCTGAAATCGATGCTGGTCAAACGGAGTCAAACCCCCTCAAAGCCCCGCTCCACATGCCGCGAGCTCGCTGCTGCAGCTGTCTGGCACGCTGCACACCAGTGACAGTACGACGCATGCGCACCAGCGGGAAGGCTTTCACAGACATAAAGTTTGAGCATGGGTTCCCTGTGTTGCAGCAACTAGCTTAAAAATACGGTAAGCCACCTCACATACCATGTTTCGTTTTCTGTTTGCTTTTTACCTGTTACGTCGCGATAACTTAGTCTAAATGACGGAGTTTCATGTTTCGCAAAGATGTTTGATGCTGCGGGTTTGTTAGCTCATCGCAGGCATCTCTTCAACTTGGCATTATCCACAATATAGTCGAGACTAACTTGTTCTTGCTGAGTACCTTCGCATTATTTGGTTAGTGGGTTAATCAAACGAGATTAAATGGTATCGTTACAGTAACTAGATGAACTTGGATGATAAATGTCCATAATGTGTAAATATGGTATAGACTCAAACACTGTCAGCTTGCGCCCTCTGGTGGTTCAACCCAGGACATACAGGTGATATCGTGCTGCTGCCTCTTGGTTTTATTATTATTTTTCTGCAATAGATCTGGATCTCTTTGGCGTTTATATGATCTCATGTTAATTTATAGCCTTAATAAATACTTTTATTTTCTCGTATCAGGTGCGTTGATTGAGCTCTTTCCTCAATCCACGCACTCCTCATTCCTCAGTCATTATTCTTTTATGTTGCAGAAGTATTTGTTCAGCCTATTAATCCCATACGCATGTTAAATATACTTCTAGATCCTGGAAGGGATTCAATCATAACACAGTCACATGTGTAGAGTAGTGTATCCTGACTTTGTTATGGTAATCATTGCGAGGTAGTGTCACAGCAAAGTGGGAAAAAAAATCAAAGGTGTGCTCTTCCATGTTGTTTTGTAATAGATAAACAAAGGAAACCATTCTGTGATGTTTTAAGTTTAGACTCAAGTTCAACTGACTGCTAAAGATTAAACTTATTTTTTTTGTGCTGACTCACCACACAAAAGTGTCACTGCAATAATTGATTTGTTGGACCAATTGGTTTGATTGATAGGCCTGCTGACAAACACCTACAGCATGCTTTGTTCTCAATAAATGCAAAAAAGTGGCATGTTTTAATGCGTAGATATCAATGAATTATTGGATATATTTGACAAAATATTTAATTATCTCAATTAAAGTTGTGTTGCTGTTTTATGATGTCACACAAAATAGGAATAAGCACATGCTGTTTCATAAACATGTTGACACCCTGCAATTTAAAGTGAACTCATCACTGTCCTTCCTCTGAACATTGTCTGTACCTGAAAGTTGGCCCGTGATTTGCAACTTTAGAAATACAGTTCCTGCCCTGATTTTGGCCTGATATGCATCTTTAACCATACACCCAGCCTTTATTGACACACTCCATTTAGCTTATCCTGTGATGGTCTTGATGTTGTACATGCAAGCCCTTTCTCACACAAACAACCATAACTACTAAGAAAAACTTCTGCTGTGTTTAGGCGTCTTTCCATACTTGTCATTTTGACTTGTCATGGCAGAAAGCCATCATATATCATATATATATATATGATATTTCCAGTGCTACTCTAATGGATTAAAAAAAACAGGCTTTTTTGATATAATTTTTTTAATTCATTAGCTTAAATTTAATATTCTACATCTTAAATAAACTTTCCGACCTCTATTAGACTGTATTTTATTGTCCTTTCTTCTTTATTGTCTCCTGCATGAGGTACATCGAGTACTCGGTACATCGTGACTCTTGTCTCTGCATGTCTTACCTGCTGTCCTCATAAAACCCCGTCGTAATCACCGTGGGACCACGAGATGGCGCTGTTCCTTGTGCCTTCTGAGGACCTCTGAAAGGGGGCTGTCCTTGTGTACAAGTCTATGCTCCCATTCATGCAGTGTTGAGCAGTCCCCGCCGACACACAAGCCGTGTCTCATCCTCGTCAAAACAGAAAGCTCGGCTCTCTCAGACTGACAGAAGGGTTAGTGAGTAATAATTTTGCCTTTTTACAATTTGTCTCAGTGTAGTCTGGACTCTCTCTCTGTTTCGGCAGGTCTGGAAGTAGTAGCTTATCCTGTGATGGTCTTGATGTTGTACATGCAAGCCCTTTCTCACACAAACAACCATAACTACCAAGAAAAACTTCTGCTGTGTTTAGGCGTCTTTCCATACTTGTCATTTTGACTTGTCATGGCAGAAAGCCATCCCCTCGCTTAACACATTAATAAAGTTTTAACTTGTCTTATGAACAATGGCTAATTCTTTTTCTGTATTTATAGGTTCATACCCAGTGAAATGCAGCCTTCAGTATTACATACCTCTTCCCTCCTACGACAGGTCAAAACGTCATCTTTGCAGAGGACTATAGGCAGATAAATACTAGAATCTGTAGCTGTCACTGAAAATGTACAACTATAGAGGTTTCTCTTGTTATTTTAGGTTAATTAGTGGGAATGCTGTAAACAGCATTTAGATCGCTGTGGTTTCCACATTTCTTGGATCCCAGACATGAAAATCACATCAATGCATTCGGCCATTTGTCCTCTTGATCGCAAAATCATCACTTAGCCACCAACTCTTAATTTAAGCCCTTGAAATGAGCACCCAATAGGGAGACGTTTTCCCCTTTTTCTCATTGTCTGACTTCATTTAAGCTCTCTTTATGCAGTATCTTCTACTTGTTCTACCACTTCTACGACTCCTTTTACCTCTTCTACTTCTTGTTCTTCTGCTTTTACTACTTTTACTTCTTCTACTTCTGCTTTTACTACTTTTACTTCTACTTCTGCTACTACTCTTCTTCTACTACTACTACTCTTCTACTACTAATCTTTACTTTTTCTTCATCTACTATTCCTTCAGTTGTTTCTGCTGATTCTTCTTTCAGCAGTGTTTTACACAACATTTCAGCGGTCAGCATTCCCACGCGTTTTCCGCAGGTAAATGCAAATTGTCTAGTTAGATCTGTTGCTGGAGGTTGAAGTTGGGTATGGCATTGCTGAGAGTTTAGTGAGTACACAACGTATATTTATATTTCATAGGTGTAGGCTGTTCCATTCTCAAAGGTGCACCAAAGAGGTCTGTTGAGCTTGATTTGAGTATTTGTAGGTATTGGCAGAAAAGAGAAAATGAAAGAAAGCAAAGGGATGTTGGAGGAAGTTTTTTTGACAAGTGACATGATATACTTGTTATAACAGAAGTGTGTGGACACTAATAAATATGAATGTTCAAGTTAAATGAAATATATATATATATATATATATATATGATATTTCCAATGCTACTCTAATGGATTAAAAAAAACAGGCTTTTTTGATATACTTTTTTTAATTCATTAGCTTAAATTTAATATTCTACATCTTAAAAAAATAAACTTTCCGACCTCTATTAGACTGTACTTTATTGTCCTTTCTTCTTTATTGTCTCCTGCATGAGGTACATCGAGTACTCGGTACATCGTGACTCTTGTCTCTGCATGTCTTACCTGCTGTCCTCATAAAACCCCGTCGTAATCACCGTGGGACCACGAGATGGCGCTGTTCCTTGTGCCTTCTGAGGACCTCTGAAAGGGGGCTGTCCTTGTGTACAAGTCTATGCTCCCATTCATGCAGTGTTGAGCAGTCCCCGCCGACACACAAGCCGTGTCTCATCCTCGTCAAAACAGAAAGCTCGGCTCTCTCAGACTGACAGAAGGGTTAGTGAGTAATAATTTTGCCTTTTTACAATTTGTCTCAGTGTAGTCTGGACTCTCTCTCTGTTTCGGCAGGTCTGGAAGTAGTCGTGCAAATATGGCTGCAGGGGTTTTGAAAAAAAAAAAAGAAAAAGGCTCGACAAGCCAAACAAACCCTGCGGAAACTGTGGATTTGTCTGCGCAGTTTAAGCTTATGCCTGTTCGTTGTATTTCCTTTTCTGCGCAGTGAGAGTTTGTGTGAGGTGTTTACAGGACCTACTGTATATTTCCTTGTTTCGCTTTGTCATAACTTGGTTGTGGGCCTGTGGGAGTAAGAAATTCACAGTACAGTACAGTTTTTATCTTGTAAAAGTCGAAACTGAATTTCGAGGTTGAACGGTATGTTAAAGCCATAATCTTGGTTTTTATTTTATGGTTGTGACATTTTATCCTTAACGGGCCTCTAGTAAATACCTTCCTGCAACATTTACATAATGACTTTACTTTTTTACCTTCTCATGTGAAGCTGTCAAGGTGGGAACCTGGTCAGCCCTCCTGCGTTGTTGGTCATAACAGAAATGTAGGCAAAAGTCCAAGTAAAGGTCATTCATTGTCAACCACCTGAAAGCTCGTTCATAATACATATATACAGCTCAATGGCGCTGTGATAACACAATGTAGCAGCATGATGGTTGTGTACATGTGATTGCAGCAGAAGAACATTTTATAATAATAGATGTGTTTGTAAATGTCACAAGTGAAGGTCAGTAAAAGCTGTTTTGTCATGTCGGACTTTTGGTCACAACATCATAAAAGTAGTTATAAGAAACTAGTTTTACATGTAGGATTTAAGGCGGATTCTTTTTTTATATATATATAATTAACAGAATATGGTTGACTGTCAACGAGATGAGGGTGCACACCAGTGACCCCATTTCACAGACCACGTGGGCAGGACACTTGATATAATACCAGAAAAAAAAAATACAACCTACATATGAAGAATGTCTTGAAGTGTTTGATGTTGACACGTTTTATAATGACAACTGGAAAAGAAAAGGGCTGTATGCAAAGGATGATGTGGCGTTTGTGGTCAGAATCATGAAGCTGATATGCAACGCAAAGTGCATGAAGAGGAGGGGGTAGTTGGCATGATTTATTAACTATGCTGTAAATTGTATATAATGGGCAAACCTGTACTATACTTAATCCAGAACAGACTATATGTTTTTCATTGCTCAGTAGTAACCCGTTGTATGTTTTTACCGGCGTACGAGGATTTGTGAGGACGATGTTGTTAGTTTTAGCCGGTATCTAAGCGGCGCAGCGCTGCGACCTTTCCCCCAGTTTCTGCAG